ACAATCCTATTAGCCCAATTAGTGTACTCCCTAAAATTGCAGGATTTGGTCCTCAGAGAGAGGGCAATAATATATTTTTTACTATCCACACCTTGGCCAGAACACAAATCAACACAATACGTGTGCATCTTTCTAATGTTTTGTTTGATGCTATATCTCTTTAATTGAAACTGATAGCTTTTCTTTTTATCTTTTAAATGTAATGGCAATCGCAAAGAACAAAATCGAAACCATTGTAAAAAGATCTAGGAAATTTGATGAATCTAATGAGAGTTGTTTCATTTTGTTTTGGGGGGTTTTCTCAGCATTAGGTGTAAAATAAGCTAGTAACCAGTCTTATGCACTGAATTCCTTTCCTATAACATTAATCCAAGAAATAAAAGTGGAGTTGCTTTATATACATGAATATTCAGGTTTTATTTAAAAAAAAACCTGAATGTTACAGGTTTTGTTCTGCCATTGTAATAATAAGCTAAGTTGCAGGATGAGGTAGTAATTAAGGTTGACTTGATTATAGAAAATAGAGTAAAACTATGATATATACTTGAATACAAGATGACTTTTTTTTCCTCCAGTCAGCATGGGGGGTAAAAGCCCCTCTTACATTCACATACAAGAAATCCTCATTAAATACATTGCCTATTGTTAAACTGCTTCCCAAAGCAGCTTGTGCTCAGGAATGGAAACCAGCTATGAAATTGATTAAATGCAGCTAACCCTGAGAGTGATTATAAAACAAATGGCCTATAATAGGCATATACACTGATGGGAACCTACCACAAGGCTAGGTTAGGGCAGCCCATCTGAATAACATGTATGTAGTACATGTGGTCCCCCTCATTTGATGACTCTCAAGTCAGTGAGCCACTATATTGAATACATTTCAGCGCCTCTTCACTTTCACAGCTAAGCTGCACCTCTCTTTCCCATTTCCAAATGAGTCTATGTTGTAATTTGCATATGTTTATTTCAAATTTGCCTCAATTCCATGTGCTCAGGGAGAGCAGGCTCTGACAGTAAGAAAGGGAGGAAGGGGCTACAGAGAAGTGTGGGGG